CAAAAAAAAATAAATAAAAACATGTCTTTTGCAGCAACATGGATGGAGCTGGAAGGGATCATGCTTAGTGAAATAAGCCAGGAAGAAAAGGAAAAATACCGGATGGATTCACTCTTAGCAGGAGTATATCAGACCAGGGGAAAAAATAATAATAATAATGAACAGCTATAGACTAGAGACATTTTATGGGGGGTGGAGTGGGGAATGGGATCAAAAACAGTGAGGGGGGAGGGAGGGAAATGCAATGGACTATGGTGATGGCACACGGGTGATTTGGTGATGGGAAGCCCAAGGGTATTGCAACCGAGATGGAAAAACGCACAAAACGATTTAAAAATAAACTTTTATATTATTAAGAAAAAACATATACAAGAACTAAAGTTTAATCAGGATACCCTCTGACCCAGCCAAGTTGACATATAATAATTAGCCATCACACGGTCATGCCTTCCCTTCTCTTTACATTTTAGAATTTCCTCAGCAAAGCACAGGCACAGAGGGAAATCTGGGAAGTGAAACTGTCCCTCAGCTCTCAGGGGGCTCTGTGGGTGAAGGTTAAGAAAGAAAAGACGGTTGTTTTAGGGGGAAGGGTCATCTCAACCTGTTTTTGTTCCCCAGGTGTGAGTGGAATCAGTTACAGACATGAGAACACATCTTTTATCCAACAAGGGTGTCGAGTTGAGCCACATGTGCAACCATTTCCAGGACAAGAGGTGGAAAAACACCCAGCTGAGACTCAGTCTCCCCATGGGGTTGGCAGACTACAAGCTGGCTTCTTCTTGTATCTGGCCCTTTGGGTGATACTGACAGGGGAGCCCAGACTGCTCCAAGCTCAAGAGAAAGGGATCCTCTCCCAGGGCAGGAGAGGGAAGGAGGAGTTGTGCCCACTGCCCTATGCTCACGCACACTTCACAGTCACAGACAGAAGTCTTGGATCTGGGAGTGAGACCCCCAGACAATGCGGGGGCCATTACTACTGCAGTCTGAGTTCTACTGCAGTCTGTGCCCTGCCCCAGACCCAAAGCCGACTCTTATCTGAGACTGATGGCCCCATCCCCAGCTCCATGAAGTGATTTTCAGGGATCCTCCATGTATTTAATAAAGAATCTGATTGGGGCCATCCCTGGTGGTGCATTGGGTTAAAGCACAGCACTATGAAGCACTCCGACGCCCTGCAGCACGAGTTCGATCCCTGGACAGGGAGGTGAACTACATGGCATTGCAGGCCTCTGCTGACCTGCCTGCTACTCCCCTCAGCAGTGTATTTCAGTTAATCTGCCTGTTCTGTTCCTCACTCTCTCTGGTGAATCCTCTCAACCCCGCCCCCACCCCCCACATCTCTGACCTGTACCCCAGTTCTGGTATGTTTAATTAAACAAATCTTAAAAAAAAAAAAAAAAAAAAAACTGCTTTGTCTTTGTCCCTGGTTCCTGGAAGAGAGCCTATAAATGCTTGGAATTCCGAAATGACAGGAGTGTCTTGGTCCACAGTTTATGAGTGACTCAGATGGGGCCTGGCTGTGCAGAACAACCATTTGATGAGGAGTGGAACTTGAGCCAGGTGATCCCAGGCAGGTAGACCACTGGAGATTGAAGTGAATCATGGAGCCAATGATTCATTCAGTCATGCATATGTAATGGAACCCCAGTGAAAACTCTGCACAGTGAAGTCCAGAGGAGTCACCATTCCACCTGACTTCTTGAATAGGGACAGCTGGAAACGGTGGGATGCCTGGCCCTCTTTGTTATTGGAGCTGTTGTCTTGGTATCCAGGGTTCCTGCTGGCCAAGCGAAAATATAGTCAGGCAGAGAGGGCACCTCTCACTAGGACATAAATCCTAGTAGGAGGAACATACTGGGAAGCCAGTATCTGCTGAAAACAGGAGGGAGACGTTATGGCAGATTAGCAAGAGCAGCTAGCCTACTTTACTTGTAAAGATTAGATACGTTAGGTAAGAGACTAGAGGTAGTATGCTTTCATTAGTGGAAACTATGGACCCCCCAAGTAATAGCCCCAGTCATTCCACCCTAGCTTGTACCAGATGATGACATACTCGGGCATGTATATTCCTCCATGTACTCGCCCACTGTTATCGAGCAAGGCACAGGCCAGTTTCTCTATGGACTTGAGTAGACGGGTAAGAAGAGTCCTTGAGCTCTCAGTGGCTTTTTAGGCTTTTAATGATCTTTCCACGCCATTTGTAATGAGGCAACCAGGTGCCCGCAGAACTCCACTCAGTCACTCGACTCAGGTGCGCCCACTTACTCCTGCCCACACGCTACTCCAGGTGTGCACCATCAGGCATATGTGCCCAGAGTCCATGATCCCAATGGCCTCCTGCACTTAAGGTGCAGTGATAGCCACAGAGGCCAAGGGCGTGAAGGCCTGAACAATCTTCATTTAACCTATAATGCTTCCCCTCGGGGGTTTTTGCTGCACCACCTACACAGAAGTTTCCCTTGGCAAATGTGGAACACTGCAGCCATAACCCACGCAAGGAAACAGAATGCAAATGAATAAAGCAATACACCAAAAAGGCAGCAGAATTCAAGCCCAGGCAGGGCACCAATCCAGAGTCAAAAAAACCAAGATTGTTAGCACGAGATGATCCTTCAAATCTGCTGCCAAAGGCACTGCTCATTCAAGGACGACCTACCCTTTGCTGCCCATTCAACCACTGTGCACTGTGGGTGCATCTACTGTCACATGCCAGGAGCCATCAGGCTTCCTGGTCTTCTCCGGCTGTGGTCTCAGCCACAAGCCATACACCGCATCCACCCCCAGTGTTAGAAAATGGAGACCAAGAGTGTCAGGCTGAAGCCTGCATTACTGAAAGTCAGAGAGGTGATGACTCTCTGCAGGCCAAGAGTTGTGCCCCAAGATGGGAGTGTGGATCTTTCTTTATAGGGTTTAGGTTGTTGCTGGAGCTTT